GCTTACAGCTGCAGGCCCCTCGTTTCATGCTCCAGTAATTCGGAAGAGGCTTGCTGGAGGAGCCCTCCTCTCCTCCGTCTCATCCCCAAAGAATCGCCTCGGCCTGATTCCGGGAAGACCGGGCCCCTCCTTCCACCCACTTCTCTCCCTCGCCATGCCTCAGTGCTCACCCCTTGGCAAGAAGCCCTGGCTGGCTGGCTTGGCAGCCCTCCTCCGTCCAGCGCCCCCCCCCGAACGCGGTCCAGCCAGAGCTGATCAGCTGCCACACCGAGCAGGCAGCCTCATTCCTGCCCTGCCTTGCCTCAGATGGCAGATCTGCCAAGCCCACCTCCCTGATTCCTCCAGCAGGGCATCGCCTGCGGGCACTGGGCCTCCCATAGCTGAGGCTGAGAGACCGCCGAGGGGCCGAGGGGCACTCCAATGCCAAGGGGTGGTTTTGCTGGGTTCTCCCGGCCCCCACCCTCCACAGCAGTGTACCCTTTCTCTGCCTTCCTGGTTCAGCATTCCTCCAAGGGCAGCCAAGGGCATCTGGGGCTTCCCTCCTCGGGCATCACCGTTTGAGCAGGTGTCATGCTGATCGGGTTCCTCTCCTTCCCTGCTCTTAGGGAGGGATGTCGGGCTGGTCCCAAGGCTCCATGGCCAGGACCACAAGGCACCACGAGGCCCAGCCCCGTCAGCCACATACGCCTCAGGACTTATTCGGGGCTTTCCCTGAGTGCCAGACCGACCTTTGTTCTCTTGCAGCCCTGGACAGTTGCACTGCGAAGCAGGCCAGGAGGGGCTTTCCTTGAGGCCCCCCTCCGCCAAAACGCCCCCCCCCCCAGTTTTACAAAATCCTTTTATTCAGGCAGGTTTTAAGTTGAGAAAAGGGGCTTTGAATGGATTGTTGTTTTAATACTAGAATTGTGTTTTAATACTATAATTAGCATTATCACTTTCTGTTTGTTTGTTTGTTTGTTTGTTTGTTTGTTTGTTTGTTTGTTTGTTTGTTTGTTTGTTTGTTTGTTTGTTTGTTTGTTTGTTTGTTTGTTTGTTTGTTTGATCTATATCCTGCTCATCTGGTCAAATCAACCACTCTGAGCGGCTTCCATAAAAAAATATACAGTGAAGCATAATTTTTTTTCAGATAAACATTCATTTTGTTTTCAGCTGCTTTTATATGTTTCTTACCTTTTCCTGTTCTCATTGTGTAGTAAACCTTTATGGGCCTTGGGGAAAAATTTAGGACATGAGGCAAATAATTGATATCATCCTCATCGTACTAATACAGTGAACCTAAGTTGAAAATGTATAAAAAAGGAAAATGCTTAATGCAGTCAGAAACATACATTACTGTATGTCGTTGTGTACTCCTCTGAAAAGTTTTCCCCTGCCAGTGAAGGAATTTAGCTCCAGTATGTATGTGTCGGTCTGTCTAGTACCGACTCACCCGCTTGTCTTGGTCCTGTAATGCCTGAGAGCTTCCCGGCTCCATCCTATGCGTGGGTCTGCTTTAAAATGTATAGCTTTTACCTACTTTGCATCTCCCAGTTGGTATCTCTGTAATGCATGAAGCCTCACAACCATGCATCTCAGCCTGCTGGACTCCGAGGGCTTTTAAAACTCCTGGCATGGAAAAGCTATCATCCAGCCAGACGTACGTATATGTGGAAGATGAAGGGCACCTAGAAAAGGGAGGTTTATCCTGGTGGAAGAAGCAAGCAAAGTGGCCTCCCCTCACAAGGCAAGCATGTTCAGGGGGCCAGAGAGCTGTTTCCAGGGGGTGCCAAGAGGTGCTAATTGCCGTCAGGCCCCTGTGCCCAGGCTGTGAAGGGCTTCACCTGTGTTCACCTTGTGGAAAGTCTGAGACGGGTTTCTTTTGTAACAAGAGAGCCGGGGGAGGGGTGGGAGATAATCGATTAGAGCGGTAGGTGAGTGTACTGAACATGCAGGCAGGACCTGAGAGGTGTACAAACCCACCTGGCCCAGCTTTGGTGTGACCTGGTCTGTCTCTGGGTTGGGGCTTTGACGGGCCCTTCCGCGGGAGCCCCCGAGCTTTTGAACTTTCTTCCTCCTCCTCCTTTGCACAACGCCCCTTGCGGCTTCCTAAGGCCAGCTGTGCCTGGCGAACAGCTTGATTGAGGGAGTCAAACTGAGCTGGCAGGATTTATACCTGCCTCAGACATGATGGAGACATGATGCGGCTGCTGTCTGAGCGTGCAGGCTTCTAGGTTGCTTTGGCCAGTGGGGCGAGGATAAGCATCCACTGCCTTTGTCCAATTAAGGCAACTTTGGAGCCCCCCGCATCTCCATCTCTCTTCCCAAAGTACAGAAAAGGAATCTGGTGGCAGAGACCAGTTGCCTGCTTGGCTGAATATTCCTTCGCCAGCCAGATTCACTGTGNCCCCCCCCCCCATGAGAGCTATTAAGCTCTACCTTTGAGGCTGATTCACAGCCTCCCCCACCCATGACAGTGGCAAGGCACCATCTTGACTGCCATGGAGCCCCCTTCCCCGCAATGATGGTGGTGGTGGTGATGATGAGGATGAAATAACAGATTTTTAGAGTGGAAAGGAACCCTCGGGGTCTACTGGTCCAAGCTATGCAGGGTCTCTGTTGCTAAAGCATCCCTGATATATATGGACCCCCAAGCTTTCTTGAAAAGCATCTAACCGAGGAGAACCCACCCTCTTCTCCTTTCCGGAGGCTTCGTTGACATCTCCTTTCCTGCCACTTGCAGAAAACCAGCCTGCTCCACCTTCCATGGGAGGGACCTTCAGATCTTTGAAGGGGGCTGCCGTATCCCCTCTCGGTCTCTCCCCCCCACACACACACCTTAATTCCTCCCAGTGTTCCTCAGAGGGTTTGGGATCCAGACCCTTTGTCATCCTCCTGTCGGAAGGTGCCTCTTGTGGGAGGCTGCGAGTTGCATTAGAGGCCTCATGCAGCGCTGCAGTTTCTGGAGCCCTCCATTAAACCCGTCTCAAGCTGCTTCCAGGCAGAAGGCCTGCCGTAGCACAGCTGGTCCACAGGCTCCAGGCAGCCGTTCTGTCTTTTCCTCCATCCTATTAAGAAGAGAAAAACAAAAAAGGAGGGAAGGAGGAGTGGAGGAACCCGGCAGAGTTTTCCTGCTCCTCTCTGGCAAGTTGCTGGGCGTGAGGCAGGGATATTGACACCTTGGATGCTTTCTCTGGGTACACCCTTCGCCTCTGCAGGATAGAGGGGTGCCCATGTGCCAGAGAACCTTCTCATCACTTAGGGCTAGAATCAAAGGTCAGAAGAACCCACAAAGCTGCCTTGGACTGACTCCATCCTCCATCATAAACCAGAAAGCAGCAGCAGCAGCAGCAGCAGCGGCTCTCCAGGAGGAATTCTTTCCATGCCATACCTGGAAATGCCAGCAGGGACTGAATGGGGGGGGGCTCCCATGTGCAAAGGAGGGGAGGGAGCTGGACCCACTGAACCCCTGCCCCCCCACTCACCCAAAAGGGTGTGCTCTTGGCATTGTGCTGGTGCCCAAGTCCTCCGTTTGCAGAGCGAAGTTGCTTCTGTGGACAACACTTGGAAGAATACCCCAACCAGCATGGGTCCAGAACTATGGGGCTCTTGAATGTCCAAATGGGCTTTTAGCACTTCGGGATATTTGCTTTCTCATCTGTGTAATAAAGCAGTGATTTATTTATTTATTTATTTTAATTTATTTTATTTATATCCCGCCTATCTAGTCACTTAAGACCACTCTAGGCGGCTTACAGCAAGCGTAATACAATAAATTAAAACAGTTTTAAATAAGGGGGAAAACTTTGGACAGGATGGGACAAACACTAGGAGAGACCTACGTGGAGCCATGGGGAGTTGACTTCTTTGGGACAGACAGAGGGAGACTTTCTTGCTTCCAAGGGCATTCCTCCACCCTGTCCGTGAGCCACTGCTCTTGAGACGTCTGCCTCACTGCCTGACCGAGGCCACATCAATGGGAGGGGGGGGGGTTGCATGGGAGACACCGTCCTCCAGGTGAACCAAGGGCAGAGCAGCCCCCCTCTAAGAACAGAAACACTGGCTGATTGTGTGAGCTCTTCTGGGATTCAGCAGTATCTCAGGCAAGCCACTCAAGTGGCTTCCTGCCCCCCTGCATTTGCTCACTGGATATCTCCAGGGGTGGGGAAACACCCTCTTCCTCTTTCGGCCCCCAGGGACCGGCGTCCCATGGTGCCGACTGCTGTTCAACCAGGAGCAGCCAAACTAGCCAGGAGCGTAAAAGAGGAACCAGTTCTACGTGGCCTCAGCTTTTGTGGATGGCTACAGCTTGCTTCTTCAAATGTACGGGGGAGGGGAGCCTCCTTAGGCAGACAGCTGTACGCATGCAGGGAGTTGGTAAATGCAAAATGCAATGGACAGGGACAAGCTTTGGTGCAAGGATGGCGTCAGCAGGGGTCACTCAGCAAGGCGAAGGGTGATACTAGGGCTCCATTATCTGCTGAGGCCACAAGTAGTGGCATGTTCTCACGTGGCCTGCCCACCACAACATCCTCCAGTCCCGGGTTTCCTTGGGGATCCTCTTGTGGCATAGGTTGCATTGGGGTGGGGCTGACACGCCCCCTCCCTCCCTCCCACCAAACGTCGCTCTGCAAGGATCTGTGGTTAGGTCATTAGGACGGGGCAGCCGGCTTGTATGAGGAGCTGAAGGCGATGCTGCAGCTTAGGAGCCATCCCTCGGGGGGGGGGGCTTGTGTTAGGGTGGAGAAAAGTGGGCGTCATGGTTTCCGGAGGAGTGTCCCAAGCCGACGTCTCAGTGTGCGTAGGTAGGCTGATGGCCAAGATGGAGACTGGTCCTTGTGGCCGGCCGTCCTTTGCACATGAAGGAAAGCAAAGCAGTCAACTGAACTGAGAAGAAAGGGAAAGTGGCCGAGGGGGCATGAGTGGACGCTGAGGAGAAGCCATGAAAAAGTCAAGGAGCCCAATCCACTTGGCTCCCTCCCTTCCTCCTTGCTTCCCCTCCCACTTCGGGCTTCACTGCATTTATTCAACGCCTCCTAACCCGATGCGAGTGACCTCCTGCCTCTCCTGATCCCTTTTCTTCTAGAACCGCTTATCTCCGAAGAGCTGGACCTGCTGAAAAGGAGAGGTTGTTGGCAGCTGGGCGGCTCTAGAAGGGAACCGACGGTTTGCCGCCAGTTGCCCGTTCTGCTTGCTCGCCGACTGGCCAGCCTGCCAGCCAGATCCTGCCTCCGAAGACCCTCCCCTCTTCGCCATGGGGCCTTTGTGAGTCCCCGGAGTCTCCTCGAGGCCTGGCGTCCGGCACGGCCTTCCCCAGACCATGTGGCGGCCCCCGGTGCGACACCCGCCTCTCCTTCCCCGCCTTCTGCATGTGACTGAAGTGGCCGTGGCCGGCTGGGAAGCCCGCCTCGTGTTGTGGGTTCTCAGCTTGGCCTCGGCGGTGGTGCAGATGGACAGCCAGGCCTACTCGCCCACCGTCAACACGCACTATGGGAAGCTGCGAGGCCTCCGGGTGCCCCTGCCCAGCGAAATCCTGGGGCCCGTGGACCAGTACCTGGGAGTCCCCTACGCGGCCCCTCCCGTCGGGGAGAAGCGCTTCATGCCCCCCGAGCCCCCCTCGTCCTGGTCGGGGATCCGGAACGCCACCCACTTCTCCCCGGTGTGCCCGCAGAACATCCACACGGCCGTGCCAGAGATCATGCTGCCCATTTGGTTCACCTCTAACCTGGACATTGTGGCCACCTACATCCAGGACCCCAACGAGGACTGCCTTTATCTCAACATCTATATCCCCACCGAGGATGGTGAGTCCCCCAGCGGGGTGCCACAGACAGACGTGGCTCTCCTCGCTCGCTCTCTCTTTTTCTCTCTTTCCGTGGTTGGTTTCACGCGGTTGCAGCATGCTGGTGTTGGCTTCCCTCTCTCCGGCCCAATGGTGCATGTCTGTCCGTGTCTGTCTGTCTGTGGAGATGTGCTTTGTGGCTTCTCTGCTTGCCTCTTGTGCTCTTGGTGGCTGCCATTCCTCTCCTTCTCCTTCTCTCTCTCTCTCTCTGTCTCACTCTTTTTCCTCCCTTTCTCACTCACCCGTGCGCTGCCTCTGCTCATCCCGGTCCCCCTCCCCACTGTAGCATCATCCTCATCCTCATCCGCATTACGGGCTCCTCTCTTTGTCTTGCGAAAGATGAGGGAACTTTCCTACCGACGGACGGATGGACGGACGGACGGACTGCAGATCTTCACGGCCAGGGGCTTAGTTTTGGGGTCCCCGAGGGCCCCGTTTGGCCTTGCCTTCGGTTCAGGGTGGTCCTTCTTCCCACAACCTTTTCTTTCTCTTCCTCCCCACCCACCCCTCCCCTTTCCGAGGCCTCACGGGCCAATTTCGAGGCGAGTGGGCCGGGGACGGTGGGGAGGAACGCAACCCCCTCTCGGGCTCTCCTTCTCTCTTGCGGGAACTCACCCGGGCGTGGGCAAGGGGCTCGTGGCTCCTAGCCGTTCCCCCAGTGCCATGACCCACAGGCCATGATGCGTAGTGGGGGGCACACGCGGGGCTGAGCCCCAGTGGGCCACGTCTCCTGAGCCAAGGCACCTGGACGGGACCTGCCTTTTGCGGTGCGGCTGGGAGGCTTTCTTCTAACGCTTCTTTTCCAGGGGGCTGTGCCAGCGTTTGCTTCAAAGTGTACGTCCCCAGAGCCGAGACTCTTTCTCTCTTCAACCTCACCGCAAAACACACAGAGACCCCCAGCCACAGAGACCAAGGCGAAGCGGGGAGGGGGCCTCTTACCTGTACAGCAGCACTGGGGAGAGCTGGCATCCCCTTCCCAGGCATGGGGGCAGCTTCATGCTTAAGGCTCCTTCCCTTCCCTTCCCTTCCCTTCCCTTCCCTTCCCTTCC